AGGGACAGCGGATACGATTACCAGGGGCGAAATACCCAAGGATGCTCCTCTATGACAGGAAGCTCACATCTCGCCCATGCACCTTCATAGCACGCAAAATATGAAGGTCATATTCAGCGCAGCTGGACTGGGCGAAGAGCTTTGGTATTCATGATCCCGTCCAAACAGCTCGATACTCTAGATCTGCAGCACCCATGGATTACGCTGGAGCCAGTACTCTTGATCTGCAAGACCTCCAACGTCGAGCAGCTTAGACAATGTCTGCAATGACAATGTCTACGGCCCAGCACATCATCTTCACCACAGTCACCAAGGCACGTTGATGGTTATGCGCCGGACTAATTCTGGTATGGAAAGACTATATTTCTTTGTGACGCCGCGGACTGAAGTGAGCGCCGGCGTTACATCGAGCAACTCTGTAATAATAATCCCCAGATGCCTCGTCCGTACCTTCGGTTGGACTTTAGTACTGTTACACGGATTGGTGCAACCCAAGGAATGCGAAGGCGTTGGAAAAACTCTCCCCTGGAATAGAATGGCGTTGATTACTGCAGAAGGTGAGGCATCCTAAGGCCAGGTCACCTTGAACTAAATCCCGCAAGGACCTGGTTGGGCGGGCTCCAACGATGGTCCCAAGTGGCGGAGAAATCAACGATTGCCTGAACTCAGGACATCGAATACGCGTGGCGGGCAGAATCTCTCAACGGCGGCTCGCCCAGCAAGTCTGTGCGATATCACGATAAGTATTTCAACATGATCTTCATATGGATGTAAAATGTCCGATCAAAATTTGAATAAAAGTGTAACTTATAGCGCCTAAAAGTCAAGGAAGAAAAGAGTTTGTTTTTTGCCGACCCCAGCTGCAAGTTCCTTTCCTCGCTTTTAATTGGCAGCAGCGATAGAGGCTCTCCAGCCGCAGAAACTTGTGTACCAGGGTCACATGGAGCTCAAGGGCGGCTCGTAGCCTAGGTGTTTCGCCTTTCACCGAAATTCGCAAGTTTCTCTTTTGATACAGTAGACGCCTCCGCTTACTATGCTAGCTGACACACCTGTCAGGTGAGAGCTTTAGTTAATCGCGATGCGCCTCGTTACAATGGAGTGTTATAATCTGTATCGGCTTTAACTGGCAAACACTCGATTTAGTGTGAACCCTTGCAGTGAATTACAGCGTAGGCGTGCCGGATATCCCACAGCGTGAGGATGAAAAAATGCAGCGGTAAACTATGCCCATTCCAGTAAGCATGACCTAAGTAATATTGTACTGAATCAGTTGAATCTCGCTATCGGTTGTGTCTTTTTTTGGATCTAACCAGTAACACTTTCGAGAATGGTTTACGCAGGGACACCACTTTCAATATATGGGCTGAACATTGTTCAACCCGTTCCCTGACGAACGCGGGACAAAATTTATGGGTACTGCCCCACGAGATGTTCTTCCTTAATCTTTCTATTCATGAGCAAGCCATGAGGCTAATCTCACTGCTTTTCTGAAGTAATGGAGACCTCCCAGAACGATGGTTTTGGAAGAAACGAGAGTGGTTAGAGAGGGAGGAGATTCGAATTGAAGGCCGCAGCCAGTCAAAATCCAACTCTGAAAGCTCCCTGAACAAAATTTGTCTCCAGGCCGAAGCTACTTGAGCGAGTACCGTTGTGACAATGTACTGAACGATAGCTTCACGGAGCAGAGCAAATGCTGCGTGTGGCTTCCACCATTTTATGACCCAGGTGAAAGTCCTGTAGCGGAACAAGAACATTTGATGTTCTTCACCAATGTCATTTTAGATATGAAAACAGCTTCTGCGGACAACGGTAAATCGATCGTAGGTTGCCCATGTATGCTCTGTCTGAAGCGCATTACATTCACAATGGAAGAATCAGGCTTGGGATTCAAAAACGGTCATGATTTTTCGGGGCCCCTTAGCAGAAGAGCTTTCTTGGATCACTTATCACCCTGTGTGACGTAAACCTTGCAGTAGACGCCATAACCAAGCTGCCTTTTTGTTCAGTTTTTGTACGCCTATCCCCTGGATAACATTTGCGTTTGCCGTTGAAAGCTGAACAAACTGTTGCCCCTCAGCGTCTGTACTCTAGCCCTCCCCAGCAGGAAACAAAGCAGGGAAGTTAAGGCAGCCATATGATCTTTAATAAGCAACCTTTTACCCTTGTCAGTTTTCGGATGTTCGACACAAATTTCGCATAACAAGAGACTAATAAGAACCCAAGAACGCACCGGAAATTGATAAATTTCAATCACCACAATGGACACGTTCCCCAACCCCCCATTTCTGTGTCCACATCAATGATAAGAACCCCTTTGTAAGATTGATTCTATTTGGATACCTATCTGTCTAGGCAAGACCTTCCCTGAGATCTCCATTACTGCTCCGACTTTTGCGAAAGATTGCAATCGTCTATCACCGCTCAAACCCTACACCCTTCCCCCTTCGCTAGGAATGCCCACTGCCGGTCATGTACCGTCGGACGGACACAATTGTACTGCTCTCGAAAGAGGTTGTTCTTCAAATTCCGCTCTAGCAGCGGTAGACTGCGTTCGTTTAGACAGAAACATAATAGTGCCTAACACATTGAGGTGTGAATAAGACTATCAGCCTGCCGCCGCCAGCTGTGACTGTGTCGCCTGGTTCCCAAACATGCCCAGGAGATGGAGATTACACGAACAGTGAAACACGCTAATTCTCCATGCTCGCCCGCTTACAAGCCTTTTGTGGCGCAAGATGTGCGCGTCCTTCGAATAACATCCGTCGTGAAGCGCGCGTGTCACGTGCGTCTGCCTTGGCACTTGTGCCCAGTTCTTTAATGTGCGCTTTCCAAATATTAGTGGTCCACAAAAGTTCATGGCCGATGTTCGCTTTTTCAGCAGCGCGTAAAGATATCTCACCAAGGTTCGAAACTACCGTCCATGGATATTAATCTCTCATTGCATCTACCATACCTTTCGCCAGCTGATCGCGGTAGAGAGGCAACTTTCCATCCTCACAAAAGCCGCCCGAGCGCGAAAGCTGTCGGCCCAGTCTCGGATCACGTTCCTCTGAGGTCCTGCTCGCTTCTTCGGCCTGTTGTTCCGATCCAGAAATTTGCATGGACCGGAAGATGTGGTTAATCTCACTGGGACATAAGTCCGGGGCTATACGGTGGATGCGTGATCGTCTTGATGCCCAGCCTGTCCAGGACGGCCTGAGTATCTCTCGCTTTGTGGGGGCGCGCGTTGTCTCAGAGCAACCACGGATTTGCAAGTTTCTGGGACAAGGCGGCAGCTTTCACCTTGACCTCCTGCAATTCTTTAGAGAGGGTCTCTGCCGTCACTGTGGCATTGTTGGGTAGGATGCTGTAGTGGACGACGCCGTGGCGAGAGAACCAGAAACCTCGGCATATCTTCGATGCCATAGTTCCTCATTGGTGAGGCGAGTCCACCATTTTGACATCCAGTTCTTAGAAGGGGTGTTATTCACCAAACTGCTGACGCATCCTGGTCGTGGCCTGACGTCTGGAGATGCCCAGGTTGTAGTAGTCCAGCAAACATCGGCGGTGGTGGTGACTATCACTCATCTTCACTGCTTTATTGTGGGAAAGCAGGAAAGGAAATTTAGAGCTAGCTAGCTCAGAAGATAGCCCATCGCGAGTACTTTCAGTATTGCGAAATCTTTATGCAAAATCACAACGCGTTGCGTAACGCGACGCTGTTTACAAATGGCCAACGAACTTTGTGGACACCCTAATACTAGTAAACGCCACTTCTGAGTGCGCGATCTAACATTGCAGGTGCGTGCAAAATAAGAATAGAAATCGATGACGAGAGGGTCCAGAACTCAAGAAAGGCAACATGTGGCACTTCTCGCCAACATCTCCATCCCGGCATCGGGCCGCCATTATTTCCACGAAACATGGAAATAAAACGGCATACTCGTTAGTTTGATACAAGCAAAACGCAATTTCCTGATGCGAATAAAATTTTAGGTGTTGCTCATGCTTCAAAATCCATGTACAAGGAGATGAAGATGACACAGGCTAGAAATGAAGCACAACGATGTAAATGTAACAAAACAAAAATGAAAAAAATTCAGATGAAAGGCAAATTAGATAAATTGGCCTGTAAATTTCTACGATCCGGCGCGAATCCGGCGCCAAAGCCATAGAAATACTTAGAACAAACGAGTGGGACGCTTGGGTTGTTTATTTCATTGTTTTTGTGGAAGCGCGGCCTCTGATGGATACTGCAGATGCAGCCGAGTTGCTCTTGAGTTCTGGCCCTCGTCATCATCTTCTGTTCTTATTTTGCAGCACCTCCAATGTTATCCGCATCAGGAAATTGCGTTTTACTTGTATTTGAGAGCGCAATTAAAGGATTGCAGAAGCCAAAGGACGGCACGCGCACATGCGAGCGCTACCGAATGGATGTATGAAGGACGGGAATCTGGGCCGCAAAAAGGTGTAAGGCGGAGCATGGAGGAATTAGAGTGTTTGTTTCACGGTCCTGTATCTCCATTCCTGGGCATGTTTTGTGCGGGGGACCACGTGACGTCACATCGACAGCTGGGGGGGGGGGGGGTGATAGTCCTCATACACCCTCAATGTGCTTTGAGCGTACCATGTGTCTTAAGAGCGATGGAGCGCCCAGAAATGGGAGAAAGCCCTTCTTATCATTTGTGGAGAATTGTAAAGTCCGAAGTGGCTTAACTACCTGACACCCATACCCTCTCCTCAAATAGCTCCCGAAAATCATGAATCCCACTAAGCGCTGGCGCACATGTGCAGTTTGGTATCTCCGAGGTACATAGCGCTGGTTCATGATTTGATTAGAAGATAGGAGTATCAGAAGTAAGTGTTCGAGATAACCCTGATTGATTCACCCAGCCACTCGAGCCTCTGAGGTTCACGTTCCATGAGCAAACCGTCTTTTCCATCAGCCCTACCCCACCTCCACCCCCACCCCTATCGGGAAAGAATTGAGATAAAGTTCTACCTTATTGTCCAAAGTCCGCTCACCTGTATATATCAGGCAGATCGTTCTCAAGATCAATCGAGGTGTACTTCGTTGGCTTCGTTGGTGAATCGAAAGGTGGTGATGAAGACGATGAGTGACTTGTTCTCGGCGTTGCTGTGGTTGCCTTTGGCGACTCCGTTTTTCCTGGTGGAGTGGTTGACGACTGACTGAATTTTGGTGTTACTTTTGGGGAGGCTGTTTTCGTCGGCTCCGTTTTCGGCCCGCTCGTCGATGTAGTGCTGGGTTTTCGCTGCTCCGAATCTTTGGCGATTTCTTGCGGCAATGGCACTATGGACAATTTCCTTGGTCGTGGACTGAGCGAGCATCTTCTCGACGATGGCATTTTCCTTCGTTCTGAGCTACAAGAGAATCTTCTTGACGGACGACGAGAATCAGACGATCTTCTTTCCACTTCACGTCTGAACACCTCACTAGGTAGTTCCTCTGGTTGTTCGCTCTGGCCGTTAGCTGGTGGATTGCTGTGTGAGTCCGCCATTCTGAAAATGAATGATTTTGAATGATCCCATCTCGCCAACGATTTGAATTTATGAAAACAACTGAAACTTACTGAAAGAATATCGATTGGGTGCAGAAAAAAAGGAAGGTGAGCGGAATCGCATTCCGAATCTCATTCAAAAGAACTACGGGAGGTACACAAAGGGATACAGCACAGTTGGCAACATATTATAATCGCGCTTTTGTTCGAACGAATGGATTGTAGCGCTGTGAACTAGTCAAACTTTGGTTATACGCAGCTAGTGGATGTCTCACGTGAGCTTATAGGAAAATTCCAAATCTGATGGACACCTTATTAGGCCTGAATCTAAAGTATTTCAAGAGAGCCTTCGAGTCACTTAGGGAAGGAATCCATCGTGTTTTGATTGTAATTAGATGCCTTAACGTTTGGAATTCTTCAGGATCTATTGGAGACTTAAATATGTTTTGCTCTCACTCAAAACACTTAAAAACTAATCGGCTGGTCACCATTGAGTTCAACAAGTGCCGCACTAGTTTCCCGGCTTCTCTCGTTAATTGTAGGGAATTTGTGTATTTGGAATCAGTACCCTACCGTCTCTATAGTTTCCCCTTCTCACAAATTGTCTCGTGTCATCATACAGTATTTTACTGCTAGACATAATTATACTTCCACCTGTGATCATGATTACCATGATTTTTCTGTTTTTCTATGCCTTTCCTCCTTTCGTCTAACGTCAAGTACAGTACCACCAGGCATTCGTATTCTGCTTGCGTAATGGATGACAGGGCTGTTTTTATCGAATCTGATGTTGACGCTTCTCCCCCACACTGTGTTGATTTACATAGGCGCACAACGTAGGCCCTTACCTCGCTGAACAACCCTCAACGAAGTTATATTCAAGTGAGAAATCCGAGGCTGAAAAGCGAAATGAGTGCACGCTCTTACGAATGATCTTTGCCTTTCATTCCTCTGTATGGGTTGTAAGAACACAGCGTTTTTACACCTATTGCGTCCAACTGTCCACAGTATCTCATGTATCCCGTGCTGCTTATTGTATCGAGCGGGATACGACGCTGATGGAACCGAGGGAGGTGGGTTCTTTTGTTAAAATGATTTTATATTCAGCTTTTGGGAATTGTCTCAACTGGTCTAGCAGGATAAGGCTCAGCCAGGTAGGTTAATAGGGAACTTGAAGCCATTTTCAGATCAGGTTCAAGTCGAAATGTCGACCTCAATATGCGGTTCAGTCTTACAAACCTGTGCGACGAAACACGTTCTGTGCCACTCAGGCATTGTTCACAGTCTGCGACCGTGATTGTTCACAGTCTGCGACCCTGACGCGGCGGTTCAAAAGCAATAAATACGTATTGATCGGAGAATCGCCAACCGCTCTGGAGAAACGCCGCCGCGGTTCGGCGGCTCGGCGAAAAGCAATAGATGCGTATCGATTTCGCTGGCTCCGCCCTAGAGAAAAACGCCAGGGCGGTCGAGCTAGCGTTTTTCGCCCAACCGCTCCGCCGAACCGCCCGTCGATACGTATCAAAACCGTTTCGCCCAACCGCCAGACTCTTCGCCCAACCGCCAGTCGATACGTATGAAGCTTTTCGCCGAACCGTTTCTTACGGGAGAAGCGCAGGTTCGCAGAGTGTGAACGGTGTCTCAGGAAGAAGTACACGCTCCATGTCCAGAAGTGGTGGCCATAGCCGGGCACTTGACTTGAACGTGAC